TGTATATGTATATGTATATATATATATATATATATATATATACATACATACATATGTATATACATATATATACACATATATATGTATATATATATATATATATATATATACATTAGTACCTTTGTTAGAGATTACAGATTGGGTTAATTCTTACTAAATCCCAAACTGTAACAATTCACAGTTTTAATGCAAAAAAATTAAGAAATGAGTCAATAAATAAGAGGTGTGTTTCTGAGCGATGGGCTGGCTGAGGGGGAGCTCGACCTGTTGCTCCAACCAAAACGTGTGGGGCAAACCTGTCCAACCAAAGGGCGATGAAATTATGAAGCTGATTCTTTATCTCACCGACGCCCACCCCTTCCACCCCCTGAACCTCAGAATCAACCCCCAAAAAAAAAAAAAAAAAGAAAAGAAAATGAGTGATCTCGCTCTCTCGGCCCATTTCTCAGCGTCCTGCCATCCAAGTCCAGGAACAAAGCGGACTTGTTGAACCTCTCAACGATGGAAATGGAAAAAATCATGCAGTCAAACAAACAAAAAAAAAACAAACAAACAAAAAACCGAACCAAAGTCTATAAACATGGAAATCCAGCTCCTCCCGGGGCCCGGTGCGCCCACAGGGGTTCCCGTGTCTCCTGATGCCCGCGTCCCCGGCCCCCCTCATACGGGCGTGGTGCGGCGGTTGGCTGTGTTGGTGTGGCTCGAGTCTTTCAGGTCCTTCTGGACGCAGTTGTGGACCTGGAGGAAGTTGTGGTCCCTCTCGGAGTTGTAGGTGGCGGTGGGCGTGCCGGAGGACTTGAGCGTGTCCCGGGGCAGCGTGTACATGGAGATCTCCGTGGAGGGCAGCGCGCTGAAGCCCTTGAGGCCCACCGGCGAGGCCTCGCGGGAGTGCGAGGGGTCCGTGGAGCGGGAGGAGGAGCGGGAGCGGCGCCGGTAGCGGTAGCGGTAGCTGGGGATCCGCGTGATGGCCGAGCCCTGGAGGTAGTCGGCCGCGCGCGCCCCTATCCGCAGCTGCCGATGGCGGTCGATGAACATGTGCACGGCCAGGACGCCCACCATCTCGGCCATTATGAAGGAGAGGGCGCCGAAGTAGAAGGACCAGCCGTAGGAGTAGCTGTTTTTCTTCGAGTCGCTTTTGGAGGGGTCCCCCGCGTTGGCTGATATGTACACGATGATCCCGATAATGTTGCTTAAACCTGACGCACGGGAGAGGCATGGAAAAGAAGATGGGGGAAAAGGGAAAAAGATCAAACACATCAGTTTCCGTTTTCCAAAATACGCGGTGTCATACTGTTAGCGATTCTTTAGTTGGAAGCCTGAGAATAAACCAGAGCAGATCAAGAGTACAAATATGAGATTTATTGGTCATAACCAAAGTAAATCAGCATTAGGCTCCCGGGAGGATCTCAGTTAGCAAGATTTCTGGACAGAGGACAGTTTTCCTCTGGGCCTCGAACAGGAGGACTGCTGGACGTAACCGAGTGTTATTGGCCAGTTAGCTCTGACATGAACAGGCCAGGTCCTAATTCATGCAGGTTTTGGTGGAATATGATAAGAAAGTGTGAATGTTGACCTTAAAGACGAGTATCTACTGTAACCGAGAGAGGAAGAGGCACAGCCAGAGAGTTTAACCCAAAAGTATAATTCTAAAAGTAATAATATGAATCTAAAAAGGAATAAGACAATCAATCATTCACATGGATTAGGTTATAACATACAGTGCTAAAGTGAGTAATTTTATCCCGGTTCTAACAATACCAAATATGAAGCTGTGCGCTTCGCCCTGTTGGTGGAGTCCCACCTAAAGGCGTTTTCGGACATAGCACGTCTTGAAAGACGGATCACAGCGAAAGTATGTCAGGGACACCGTATTTTTAGAGGTGGGTCCCAATGGGGGACTCCCGGACTGGCAACAGGATCAAGAGAAAAGACAAAAAGAGACGTGGCTCGTGGCTGGAAAGCCAGTTCAGACGGTTTAAAACCTTTGAATTTATCTTGTGCTGCAGTCTTTTATTACATCTACTTATGGGACTGCTTGAACATTGTGAAATGAAGTAGACACTATTAACACAGTTGGTGAACGGTAAAAATCTCAATAACTGAGGGAAGAGTTTGTTTTCATTCCTTCCCAGTGAGGCCAGATCTGTCCAATGACTTGACAATGCTAATTGGTCATGAGCTGCCCCCCCAGTTTACAAACGGAAAATCAGCCAAAATAAAGCAAAAACAAGTATGAGTTGTCCAAAATCTATGAACAGTTGGACTTCCCCAAATGTATTGGGTACTGTCCTTCCCAACCCAGTTTGACCCAGAAATGAGCACTGTCATGTGAGCCAAAATCAAAGATCATCAAAGAAAATCAAACAATACGGTAAATAAATGTTTTCACCTTGTTCATTAAATTCCTAGGGAGATTGTACATTCAATTCTGAGGACTTTTTTAAAGCTACCGGCTTTCACCGGTAAATGGCTTCAGAATGGTGTTTTTAGGCCTCTGTGCATTCATTTTCCAATTAGAACAAACACATTTTCCAATTAGAACAAACACATTTAGGAATGGGACACCTCTTGAAAATCTCCCCCCCTCCTGTGTGGTTGTGTTGGTGTGTACTCACCTGCAGACACAAAGAAGATCCCTGCACTGAGGATGATGTTGTGGCGTGACTTGTAGAACTCACTGGCAGCTATACAGAGGCCCCCCATGAAGAGGAGGATGACGCTGAGGATGGGGAAGATGCTGGAGGCTCGCACCGCACCTGGGGAGTCGGTGGGGGGGGGGGGGTGATTGGTGAATGGGATGCGATTGGGAGATAAGAGGGAGGGACAAAGACAGAAATGCACATTAGGATCCATTTCCTCATCCGGCTGTTGTGGGGGAGCGAATCCTAATCAACATCCCATCAGGCCCATGAAAGACTCCATCAACCCCCTTTTGGAATCTTCCTCTTCCTCTGAGCGCTAACTGCTAACTGCTAACCGGCGTCAGTTAAAATTATGAGCAAAAAAATAAAAAAAATAAAAAAAAGGAGACATCATGTCGGAGAGAGAATGAGAAATCCTCAAAAGTACGCCCCCCCTCCCTTCTGCCACCCTGCGGACTTCACCTCCACCCGCCCCCCCCTCCCCCTCCTCCCTCCCCTGGCCTTTCTACTTAACATGCAAACTTAAACTTTCATCAGGCTGGTTAAATTTTCACCACTTCACCTCATCTCCCCAAGTGGCTGCCGCCTCAGCACTTTTCCCACTTTCTCCCCAAAGTGCTGACGCCGACCGGGCGGCTCCGGCCTCAACTCGGCCGCCTGCCCCCCCCGGCCTGCTCCTCAGCGGGGACCGGGGGTCCCGGCGGCCCATCTGTGCTGACACTCATCACTGCCCTCGCCCCCCGCCCTCTGGCCTGCATTTGTTTATCCCTAACGACTCCAGGTGCCTGGAAAAGGCCCGGAGAGTCACCCCGAGCTGACAGGCGACGCTCCGCTCTCAGTTAGACAAAAATGACCTGAAGCTGCTCGGCACATTATGGTGCTGCGTTCACTGACTCATTACACTTACTTAGACAGGTCGAATATTTGTGGACGTCCCCAAAATGAGCAAATTTGGATTTGTGGCAAAAAGGAGTCCACTTTACGTAATGGCTAGGGTCAAAATTGAGTGATTTATTATCTTCATTATAATCAAGAATACCTCATTTGGATGTAAACTTTGTAAACTTTTTGTTATATTTGCTGTAACTGATACTGGATTTACTGTGAAACGCAAGGAAGTCTGGGAAGAAATAAGGCCACGTTAGTGCAGTCCGCAAGACTTCTGATTGAGAGCAACCAAACGGGAACCAAACCAGAGAAGATCTCTGCTTCATGGGCAGTAGTTGTGGGGAGTGAACGGATGGAGGTTTTACAGTGTGAAACGCTCCATATGTGGACAGTTTGTCATATTTGACATATCTCTTAGGTAGTTCTTCCCTCTTTGCACCTTTTTTCTGCTTTAACAGCTCTCCCCACACAGGCCTCACACACACCTGCTAGCTTCCTTTTAAAGAAAACACTGCAAAAATCACCTGAGCTTTTTAAAATTTCAACGTAAGAAAGAAAGCATTTTGATCCGACCAGAGATTAGTTTGTCATCAAACAGCCCTAAAATGTGCTCATGGCTTTGTTAAACCTTGTGGTAGACAGCCAATCACCTCTCAGTTTCTGTCACCCATCCAGCATCCCACCTCCCGACTCCACCTCCCTCTTTCTTTTTTCCCCATCTTTCTCCGAATTCACACTCAATCAGAGACAGTCTGAAAGATAAAGTGTCCCTTCGTCCTCCCGGTCTCCTTTCCCCCTCGTCCCCGTCCTCTTCCAGTGGGGATTGTGGGGATTAGAGTTACCAGGGAGGGGGGGCAGGGAGGGGGCTTGATTAAATATTAAGTTGTCCTAAGAGTTGACCATTCTCCCGTGTCCTACTACACCCCCCTCCGAATCTCCTTTGTTTCCGCCTCAATCCCCGCATCCCGCTAATTCCTAAAGTATTGACACGGCCCTCCACAGTACATTATGTGGAAGAGGGCAAAGGACCTCTTTTTCATCCATCAGCTTCATTTGCTGAGACAAAAGAAGGATAGAGGGCCGGCTAAATTCATCGATTGTTGACGGCGGGGTTGTTTAATTGTTCGAAACGTCAAGGTGACGGGAAAGTTGAACAAAGAGGCTCAGATGCAGACAAACTTATGAAGGAAAAAGGGAAGGTTATTCAGTTTGGCTGTTTAAAATACACTGTCGTAATGAGCAGGCTGAATGTACCTTTGATTGGAATTGGCAGCAAAACTGAATCCGAAAATGTAATGTAGGAGCAGACTCTTTAAGATTTAACCCTTTAATTTAGGATGTACCATACCTGCCATGTAGGTGATTATTAATCACGCTGTCAAATTTTGGTTTAACCCTTTAAAGCCTGACCCAAGAAAAATAGGAAGAATATTGGATTTCTTTAGTCTGAAGTCTTTCTTTGGCCCCTCAACAACATATGAACAAAAAAAATGAAATTTTTTTGATCAAATTAGCGTGTAATAAGTCAATAATATATTTTCATGTAGTCTTCTACTGGCTGTTATCAGGTATATCTGAATGTGTACAACAGGGGTTTGAGCAAAGCTTTTACCACTGAATGATGCAAAAAGTCTCAGATCCAAAAGACTTCAGAAACCGTATGTATCAAATGATACATTTGGCATTATAGGGTTAAAACACTGTTATATACTGTTTGGAAAATAAAGCATCGGGGTTATAACAGAAAAGAGAGACAGAGGCTATTACTATTACTTAAAAACAGACTTCAGTATCAGTGGAATCTGTCAGATTTGGTCTGTGGTTGCACATCAACATTGAACATTTCAATAATTAATTTGCACATTCAGATCTACATTTTTAAAGATTGTATTTTTCAGTTTTATAATTTCTGTTCTTTATTTTCATTTCTAAATTTTATTTCCTTCCTTGCTTCTCATAGAAGTGTTGTGCACCAAACACCAAGGCAAATTCCTTGCAAGTCTAAAAACCTACTTGGCAATAAACCTTATTCTGATTCTGGTTCTGATTTATGCTGAACACCGTTCAGCACAACTATCACAACGTTTCTGAGAAGCCCTGACGGCGATGTTTCGCCTTCAAACAGGGGAGGATGCAGCTCATTTGCATGGCTTTGAGTCTCGAAACCGCGCTTTGCTTTAGCCGCCGTGTGCAGCGGAGCGCGCAGCAACGCAGAGACCTTCAGGATGACCTCCCAGCATGCATTGGGCCTTCGCCCGGGGCTGCGTTCTGCTGCGCCAACAGGCCCCCGGCTTCGGCTGACCACGCTCTCCCTCAGAAGGAGAGGCTCAACTCCCTGCAGACCTCTCTGTTCTCCCGCATAGTGCTTTTCAGAGCTGTGACTCTGTGGAGCAAACTGCCTCATCACATCTTGACTGCTCCCACGAAAGGTGCATTTAAAACACTTCTAAAGAAATATTTAGCTGAAAGCCTTAATTCATGAATATCTGTGTAGCGGATTGTAATGTAAGGTGAAATAATTTGAAATGTGTAATTGTTCTTATGATGTGATCATTTGATATGTTTTGTGTATCTGTATCATTTTAAAAGGACCCCAGGAAGAGTAGCTGTCAAATTACTGACAGCTAATGGGGATCCAAATAAATGAACAATAAACAATAGCAGACTGCAGCGTATCACCACTTATTTTGACCTATGTATATACATATAGTTTTTTATGTATATATCTATCTATATTATATGAGGAATTTTGTATTTATATACATATATACAGTGGGGGAAATTAGTATTTGATCCCTTGCTGATTTTGCAGGTTTGCCCACTTACAAAGAATGCAACGATCTATAACTTTAATCATATGTACATTCTAACAGTGAAAGACAGAATCCCAAAGAAAATTCCAGAAAATCACATCATATGAATTTATGAAAATTGAAAACCATCTGATGAGGAAAAATAAGCATTCTTTGTAAGTGGGCAAACCTGCAAAATCAGCAAGGGGTCAAATACTACCCTATAATGGGATTATTAAAGTATTTCTGATTCTGATTCTGATCACTCGCTCAGCTGAGAAGGTGATTGGCTGCGATCTGCCGTCCCTCCAGGTCCTGTACGCCTCCAGGACTTTAAGGCGTGCAGGAAGGATCATGTCTGATCCTTCTCACCCCGGTCACAAACTTTTTGAAACCCTAGAAGGTTGAGGACCATCAGGACCAAAACCTCACGCCATAAAGGACAGTTTCTATCCAGCAGCAACTGCTAGCACTAGCGCTGCTAGTTTTCACATGCACGGACTATTTTTGCCGGATTTGAGAGGTTGATAATGTTTTACTCTTCCCGCAACCACATTCCCATTGTATCTTTTTTTCTGAAGGAAAAAGGTTTGCCTCCAGATTGGCCGCCCCACAGTCTTTGCTTTGTCTGATCTTGGACGGGTTGTACTGAAATGAAGAATTTCATCGTATGGGACGCCGGAAAATGATTAATAAAGTATGTTGATTGATTCATTTTAACAGGACTCTGCCAGTTGTAATGCACCATGATGCCCCTTTTCATTGGCATCCTGTCTAACGCCTGGTCACTTTGTCTACTTTGTTACAAACACTGCAGTTCAGAGGTAGGAAGGCAGCTCCAGGAACTCATTCATATCTTTCCAATTGGAGGAATCGTCATCTTCATTTTTTTCTCTTAGAATAAGAAATGCAATCACATCCATGGATCTTAAACTTAAACGTCTGATCCTTCTCACCCCGGTCGCAAACTTTTTGAAGTCCTCCCTTCTGGCAGAAGGTTGAGGACCATCAGGACCAAAACCTCACGCCATAAAGACAGTTTCTCATCAACAAGGCCAGCGACCCCCGCCTATTCTTCTCCCCCCCCCCCTCTACCTCACTAATTTACCCAATGCTACTGTCAGCATTTTCTGGTCTGTCGTTGCACATCAACATTGCACATTTCAATCGTTCATTTGCACATTCAGTTCTATATTTTTAAAGATTGTATTTTTCAGTTTTAGAATTTCTGTTCTATATTTTTATTTCTACATTTTATTTCCTTCCTCGCTTCTCATGGAAGTGTTTCGCACCAAACACCAAGGCAAATTCCTTGTGAGTCTAAAAACCTACTTGGCAAGAAACCTTATTCTGATTCTGATTCTGATTCTGATAATGCTGAGCGTGTCGGAGCTCGCTTAGCGTTTGATGAAGCCGTTTATCCCGGCAGCTCTCCGCCTCCGGCCAAAGGCAGAGGTGGGAAATGTTATAGGACAACAGAGCCAAAGCCACCCCCCCCCCCGAGGCAGCGAGGCCAACTATTTACAATCGG